CGCCTTTAAGATATCGATTCGCGCCTCGACAGCGACACGCGACATAGAAGGTAGAAGGTGGAAAGAACGATCGCGATCCGTCATTTTTCACCCTCCAGCCCTTCGCTCCCCGCTGCGTTCTCGCCTCTTTATTACTCTCGCGTAACACTCGGCGTCTTCCCTCGTAAAACGTGGCTGTCCTGATTGCGTCGCGGCTCTCGTAACCCACTTTCGCCGCAGAGAACACAACGTTTCTCTCGAGTCGCCGGTTCTCGTGTCATTTTCCGCCCCGACGTGACTCCGAATACTCGCGGAAACACCTGCGGATCACGACCAGGTTACGCGCTCCGAATATCGAGGAGACAGCCATAACTGTGCAATGAAATGAAATGGAGGAGCCGTCATTCCCCAGGCGGAGAAACACGTCTCACGCTGCTTCTCACGGTGAATCTCCGTTGTTGCCAAAATCCGCATCGAACAAAAGAGTAATTTCAGAATAAGCGGAATCGTCTAAATTTTAGAGAATTTTATTCTTACATATAGCCCCTCAAGAGGATTCTCCTAAGATTAAAAAAAAATATTATAAACACGTTATTCTTAAAGTTAGAGGGATTATATGTTATATGTATAATGCAAATCTCATTGACTTTAATATAAATTTCCTCTTATACACGCAGATTATTGAATCTTTTTTTAAAATGATTATTATTTATTCTTGCTGGTTATATTAGTTAATTTGAAAAAAAATGATTATAATGCATAGGGAAGAGTTGCATAAATAAGTAGGCGCGAATGAAATATAAGACCATCGTAAAAAATAAATTTCCAATCAGTTTTGTTGTGGGCTTCATAGCTACATAGATGTACATCATAACCAATTGTATGAAACATAGTTCAAAGAAAGAATATATTATTCGACTCCTTGCAATAGATTATAAACTGTATTTGACTAAATATGAGTAAATTATCTATGTATATGTTACAGCACGCACATACCTTTTTTAAAAAGCGTTCCAAATATTCTGACCCATATAGTTATTTTTCCATTCATGTCTGGAGGTAGAGCATGACTGAACAAAAGAAGTCGACATTCAAATCAACATATTCCTCTTCATATAGAGGAAAATTCATTAATATTAGAGAAAATCCTTTTGAAATAAGAGGAAAACATTTGGAATAATATCTTATAAATTTTAGATGAATGGTTCATTTCAATCGCTTTCAGTTTAATCGCTTTATCGCGAAAGAGGAATCCTTTTTCTGCAGAAGGCTTCGCTTAGAATATGAGACTATGGGAAAAATCAATTTACAAATAGAATATTTCTTTTCGGGTGTCCGTTGCCAAAATGCACAGAGCGCAAGGACCAACGAACGACACGAAAGGACTCACGGAAGTCGTATCTCTTTGGAGAATTTTTGCAGTACCACCTCTCAGATACGGTAAACGTAAATCATGAATGTTACTCGCTCAGAAATAACGTCGTCATATACGCGAGCAATAGCATTCACGATCAACGTTTACCGTATCTGAGAGAGACGGTATTGCAAAAACTACCTTTTGTCGTCTCCGCGAGACCTTGGACACTTCTTTCCAGTCCTTTGCGACAACTTGGCGAAAACGCAATCGATATCCCGCGTGACGTAACACTCGCGCAACACGACGCACGCGTGCGTTATTCGCCTGCGGAAAAATGAGATCGATGTCTGACACGTTATACTGAACTTACGCGTCTACTAAGGAGTAAGGAGATGAAACCTACGCATGGTCAAACGGACCCCCCCCCCGGCCATGACTCACATCGGTCGAACGATGAGTAATACGGTCACACCATTACGGCCGCTCGCATTCGTCCTGCTGTATCTTTGAGATCGCTCGGGGAAATCGCCCGTGAGAGCGTCGCTCTTCGAGCTCGTATCGCGGTTCATGGTTATCGCTCATTCGCGAGAATGTGTTACCGTGCTGAGACTGTAAAGGCCATCACACGTAGAAAAATGTTAACCGTAACCGTAAGGTTGTAAGAAAACTGACCAATCACAGTCGATTCTTTCTCTTGTGACATTATAGTAATCGACTGTGATTGGTCAGTTTTTTTACAACCTTACGGTTACGGTTAAAATTTTTCTACGTGTGACAGCCTTAATTCCACCGTTGCTCCTGCACGATGGAGCCCCGCGCTCTCAGAGTTTCAGGACGATTCTTCTCCGAGAGTCGAAATGGCCGGCCGGGACCGTTGCTTCGATCGACCGTGCATTCGTGATGATAAATCAATTGCGACTTATTGCCCGGCGCACGCGAGCCCGGTGCAAACGAGAGCTTGTAAATTCACGTGGACGCGAGTACATCGTGAATGAATCGCGTATATTGCCTTGTGACGGAATTCCGGGAGATCGGTTTGAAAATTTGCAAGATTAAACGGCTAGACGGTTAGGCCCGAGTCTGTGACTCGGGGTAAGATCTACTACTTTCAGGTGCGCCTGAATTTTTTATCCACCATTTTGCATTTGTCAGTAACAAGCTCAAACTTGAAATCAGCACATTCGAAAACTATGATAAAACATGAAAGTAAATATTTTCCTCCGCAGAAAAAATTTAACCATTTTGATAGTAATTTCTGCCAGTAAGAAGAACCGCAAGAGGGTTGAATCTGCTGCAGTGGGTACGTGATTTTCAGAAACGAATAGGTCTGCTAATTGATTCTTTCCGATGAAATTTGCATAGGTCAGAGCTAGAGATGTGCGAATCAAGAATTTTTATGTCGAATCGAATCGAATCTCATTTTTTAAATTCGAATTCGAATCCGAATCGAATCTATGAAATTTCATTCGAATTCGAATCAAATCGAATCGAACCATTAAAAAATTTAACATGAATATTAAACGTGCAAATAATGATGGAAGATTTTAATGAAAGATTTTAATGAAAGGGAATATTAATATTGTAATATTATCTTAAAATAAAATATATATTTAAATATTTGTAGTAGTATTTGTAGTAATTTATAATTAAGTTATTAATTATAAGTTAGGTTAATTACGGTAATTAAACATTATTAATTAATAATTAATTAAAAATAAGTTAAAGGTTCAAATATACAGGCCCAGATGGCCCGTTTTACAACTGATACGCACAAACGCTAATATATTTGATTCCTATTCGAATTATTCGGATTCGAATCATAGGGATTCGGATTCGAATCGAATCGAATTACATTAGATTCGATTCGATTCGAATTCGAATAGTTCGCACATCTCTACTCAGAGCAAAATTTGAAACTGAAATATTCTCCCGCTCTATAGCGGTTTTACAGTGTTGACATTTAACTTTTCTAAATGATGTATGATTTGACCTCATTTGACCTCATATAACCTCAAATAATCAATAGCGTTCGTGATGGCGCTATTAACAAAGAGCACATGATACGCGACGCATTTTGCATTTCATTCAAACAAAAACACTTCTGTATTAGCCAAAAATGATTTGTGCTGCTTGTTAGTGAAAATGCTGCGATCGATCGCACGTGCCGAAACTGATTTGAACCTGTTTCTGAAGTGGTGATTTTGATCTTCACGACCAACCACGTCCCGGTCAGCCCAAAAACTTGAAGACGAGGAGTTGCAAAATCTACTGAATGAAAATACAGCATAAACACAACAAGAACTTGCGGGAAAGCTGGGAGTAAGCCAGAGAGCTATTTGCGATCGTTTACATCGTATGGGAAAGATACAGAAAGAAGGAAAGTCGGTTCCACATGAGCTAACCATTGACAATAAAAATCGCCGATTGACCATATGTGTTATCTTGCTCGCCAGACAGCAAAAAAAAGATTTTTTGCACAAAACCTTAATTAGTGACGAACAATGGATTATATGATGAAAATTCTAAACGCAAAAAATCATAGGTCAATCGATAAGGTCGACAGTAAAATCCAAACGTTTCGGGAAAAAAGTTCTTCTCTGTGTATAGTGGGATCAGAAGGATGTGCTGTACTATGAGCTCTTAGAATCGGGTAAAACTATTAAAGCGGAGATTTGGCAGGAGTAATTAATACGTTTGAGCGATGCGATTGACAAAAAAGACCATTTGATGGACAAGGCAGCCGTAAAGTCCTGCTGCATGACAGACTGCATACAGCAGGAACCACGAAGGAAATCATCTTACACTTGAGCTGGGAAGTTCTCCCACATTAGGGCTATCATTCTTCGGTAGCTTCGAAGCTTCGAATGATTCGAAGTTTGAAGAAACTTCGAAAGTTCGAAACTTCGATCTTGGAATATTTGGTATTGAAGCTTCGTCTTCGTTTCTTCTTCGAAGCTTCGAATACGAAGACTTGGAGGAAAAATTGCACCTCTATTCCACACGCGGCGTATTCTCCAGACTTGGCTCCATCAGATTTTCACTTGTTTCGGTCGCTGCAACACGCACTTCGTGTCCTCGACACATTTTTCGACAGTTGACGACGCGCGAAAATTCATCAGTGATTTTTTATAGTCTCAAAGCCACCGAGTTTCTATCGCGATGGGATTCAGCAACTGTGCAATAAATGGCGGTAAGATCATCGATAACAAAGGAGAATATTTCATTGATTAATCTTGTCCTATTTGTAAATAAAGATTGCAAATTGTTGTACAACTTAGTAATATGTAAAGTAACACGAGAGAGAGAGAGAGAGAGAGAGGGGGAGAGAGGGAGAGAGAGAGAGAGAGAGAGAGAGAGAGAGAGAGAGAGAGAGAGAGAGAGAGAGAGAGATGAGCCTTAGAATGTATTCGGCATTTGATTGGAAAATTAATCTTCTCCAAGAATCACTGTGCAACAGATGTTTCTTTTATAAATAATACGTACAACAGTTCGTGGCTGATAGAAATTCTCGCTCTTCTTCAATTGTTTGAACGATCCTTGATGAGAGCTAGTGTACACACGTCGTCGAGAATTCGCCGAGAGTTACGAGGTGTCTTGCGTGTCGTAAAAGTCGGGGGGACATTCCGCAACTCAAATAACACGATGCCATTTTCATTTGTTCCAGGTTCACGCTAAACACGAGGAGAAGACGGAGAGCAAATCGGTGTACAGGGAATACAATCGGGAGTTCCTGTTGCCGAAGGGAACCAACCCCGAGAGCATCAAGTCCTCCTTGAGCAAGGACGGTGTCCTCACCGTGGAGGCGCCCTTACCGGCGATCGGCTCCGGCGAGAAGCTCATCCCGATCGCGCATCAGTAAACCTCCGGACGAGTCGCGGAGAATCGACTTTGGATTTGCCGCCTCAAGACAAAATTCCTCCTGTTCCGATTACCATCCACTAAAAAATCGGACCTTCCTTTCAAGTAACCGATCCAAATTGTAAGTCCTAAATCCTTCTTTTATCGATCCTTCACAGCGGTTTGAAAAGAAAAAAGAAAAAGACGAGTTCTTTACAAATATATATATATATATATATATACACGCGCGTACACACACACACACACACACACACACGCACACACACACACACACACACACACACACACACGCACACACACATACACACACACACACACGTGCCGATTTATCCATGCGAGAAAGCTGCTTGACCAATTTTAACTATATATATATATAAATACTATATATATACATAATGGCGAAGATATATAAAAGCTATATTGCGCCGAGCGCATGGTGCGCGTCGAAATACCGATCGAATTTCGCTAATTGAAGAAGAAAACGACGAGCAAAAGCAAATCAAACGTATTCAGATCCGCGTTAAAGTGCTATATAAAAGTGAGAACAATTCACATGTTTGATAAAATATTTTCCTTTTTCATACGAACGGCTTTATTCCTTTACATACACACGATATTTCAGATTCCCCCTAGTGTAAATCAGTAGCTAGTGACTTTTTTTTTTTTTCAGAGATGTGCATTGCCTTTGAAAAAGATACACAGAAATATTTTAGTTAGGCGTTTCTCTTTCTCTCTCTCTCTCTCTCTCTCTCTTTCTATTTCGAAAAGCTGTGAGCCGTATCGCTTACTTGTGCACCGCACACCGCGACTATTATTATAAAAGGGAAAAAAAAGAAAAACAAAAACAACGCGATCGTTTGTAATGGTTAACTTATGTATGTGTTAGTTTAGGTGTACGTTAAAAGACTATAACACGATGCTTAGTGTATGTATAAGCATTATATATTGATATTATTTATGAGTATTTTAATATTTTTCGAGATGCGCATAATATTTAAAGGTAATGCAGAGAGAGATACACGAAAGTTTAAATAAAAGCCAACGAATAAGAGCGAAGTTGCGCGTCGCACTCTTCCCTCCCCGAGATGAGATGTGCGAATAAATTGCCTCCTCTCCCGGATACACCGAATGAGCGGTGCAATGAGCGGCTCATACGTGTGCATCTCTCGGCGAGAAGCGTGGGCTTTTTTATTGCCGTCGATGTAAGCGATGCTTAACAATGGTAACGCCTTCGGAATACCTTCGCAGAATCAATCGGCGAGAAAAACGCACCACACGTGTTATCACAGATTGCTGCTTTATTCATCTTTATTAACAAAATACATCTTTTCTTATATACAGGTCGATTCTCTGTGTTAAATTATATAAAATCGGTACGTCCGGAGATGTTCGCGTGATGTGTCGCACTCCGGAGCTAAAACGGCTCTGAAATTATCTTAGAATAAATAACATCACACAACTGACCGCGGCTCAAGACTTCGTGACTTTAGCAGCAGCGAGAGCATTTCGATAAAATCCGATAATCGCATAGTGTATTCTTTTTTTTAAATTAACTAACAATAGTGCAAGCGGGTCCGTTTATCGTTACCCCGTTCACGCTGCGGACAACAGACGGCGATCGCGAATGTGCCGATATGTACATTGCTGCACGTATAAAACCGTAGAAACCCCATGAATTTATCTCGTACGAATTGCACGCGAGTGAATCAAACTTCACGCCATTTTGTCATGGATCTGTGACATACTTTTGTTCCTGCTTTCAGAGAGAAGCGTATCTCGCGCATCTCACGGGCTCACTTCGCAGTTAAAAATTACAATTTAGAGACGCCATTGCGAAGCGCGCAATCTTCTTTTCCTCTTTATTTTTTTTCCTTCTTCGCTTTCACACTTTACAGTGTTAAAATTGCTCGTCTCTCGAGAGGAGCTCGGTAAAAAGCACGATAACGACGACGCTTTATCTTACTGAACGTTGCCCATGTTATCCGCTCTCTCTCTCTCTCTTTCTCTCTCACACACACACACACATTCGAAAACACAAGGTCGAAATAAGTAAAAACGATACGACGCTTTTGCCGAGAAAGTCTCGCGGAGTGATAAAAATGTACGCGCTGTATAAAAAGATTTCGCTCTCCTCGCGCTGCGTGAGCGCGCAGCGGAGGAGGAGGGGAAGAGCCGGGTTCGGCTGGAATTTCTATATACTCGGAATTTCGGCAGAGAAGAGCGGCGCATCGGAGGCGGTGAAAGTCGGCGATTTACCTTCCCTCGCGATGCGCAATGCCTGGTGCACCGACACGGTGTCGAGCTCCTTTTGATTCGGCTTCTCGTTGTCGAGACATATATCGGCAGCCCTCTTGCCGAACGGCTCCAGCACCTTGACCCTGTAGTCTACGATCGTCGACACCGGGTTGCCCGTGAGCCTGAGATTCTCCAGGCAAGGCAAGTGACCGATGTTCTTCACCTCCTCGATCTTCTCGATGCGGTTGCAGCTGACGTCCAGCCCTTCCAAGGAGTAGAGCTTGGAGAAGCTGGCGAGCGACGTGAGCTTGTTCTGCGACAGGTCGATGTAGACGATGTAACCGAGCCTCGTGTGAAGATCGTCCGGCAGGCTGGTGAAGTTGTTCGATGCCAGGTACAACTGCGACAGCCGCGGCAACAACGTCACGTTCGAGATCTCAGACAGGTGATTGTTGTTGAGCGTCAGGCATTCGATGTGCGGTAGCAGCTTGATCGCCTCGTCGATGGTCTCGATGCGGTTGTCGCTGAGGTCCAAATGCGTGACCTTCAGCCACACGTGAGAATCGTTCGCGTTCTCGATGTTCTTGTGCACCTCCTCGCACATCGCCAGCTCCACGATGTTCCGGAGCTTGGTGTGCGTGACCTTCAGCAGGCACACGGTGTCTCGTAGATTGCCCATGTTGTAGATCTTGTCCACGGGGTACTGGTCGATCGTGAGGTATTGCACGTTCTTAAAGCTCGACAATTCGATGGACAACGCGAACGAGTAGATATTGCTAGTTCTGTAGGGCTCCGGGCTACCCTCGATCGTGAGACTCGTCAGATGAGAGTTGAAGTCCAACACGTGGCTGAAGTCGTACTTCTTGTCCACGACCTCCATGGACGAGCACGGCTGCTTCACTCTCTCGCTGATCGCGTACAGCTGAAAGCAAACGCGCGGCATTAACATGCGCGGAGCAAGCATACGTTGTCGGCAAGAGTCGCGAATGCGTCAAGTCAAATCCCATTACTTGCACGGGATTGAACGTGTAGCTCGTGGAGGTCTGCAGCAGGGCGTCGCCGCGGGTGAAGAACTCCAAGGCCATGCTCTGCAGCAGGAAGTATATGTCGTACACATGTAGGTCCAAGAATACAGCCAACTCCCTCGGCATCGCCTTCTTCAGGTAGTTATAAACGGCGTTGAGGTAGACCTCGAGGCTCAGCCTGCGCTTCTCCACGAAAGCCTCGCACTTGTTACCGATGAGCTTCTTGGGAGGCAGGATATCCTTCTCCACGCAGTGCTCGGACACGAGCTTGTCGTGCAGCTCGGCAAAGTCGTTGTACCTTGCAAAGCAAAGGACATGAGCAATCGCGAATAACGTTCTCTCACGCCTGCTCGCTCGGCAGAAATTAGTCGCTAGCGTCGCGCGCGGCCGCGCTGCGTTACCTGTGCTTCACGGTCCATTTGATCGACGCGATCTTAACCTCGATGCAGTAGTACGTCACCCCGTCCAGCGTGTCGGCCGACGGGATCTTCAGATGCACGTTCTCCTGATTCAGCAGCAGGCACGCCATGGCCGCGCGCGAGGCCGCTCCGGCGATGGGCGTTTCGTCCGCTAGCTGCTGCTGCTGCTACGTTGCGAGACGATGCGAGGCGCGCGCGCGCGCGCCTTTCCTCCGTCGTCCGCGGTCAGTCAGCGAGAGGTTATCCTCGACTGATGGTCCGTGTCGCGCGGCGCATCTACAGGCACAGTGACAGTCGAGATCCATGCGTCGCGCGGGGCATCGTATTGCGCCACACACTGCATTCCGCGCCTATGTGCGCGCGCGCACGCGCACGCGCACGCGCACGCAATTTCTGTGATTATCACCGTCACCTTTGCGCGTTTCGCTGCCACAATCGCTGCGGCTGCCGCTCACTCGAGACACGACGACGGGCGACAACTTTGACAGCTGTTCCGCGCGGGGAAAGCAATGCGCATCAGCTGGCTCCACCTCGTGGCGGAATGACGTAGATCACGATTCGGATCCCGACCGACGGTGAGAGGCTCGAGTCTGATGGTTCGGCTTTGTTCGATGAGCCGCCTCATCAGAAGGAAACATAGGGAACTTGGAAATTGAAAAAATTATGAAACTTCCGCGATGAAAACTATTTTTTGTTCGCGCGGAATTTTAGTCCGAGGGAGTGAGACTCCATCCTTCGAAAAGGAAAAAGCATTTTCATGTGTTTAGCGTACATCTTTTAAAGTACAAGGCATATGCAAAAATGGTTTATATGAAAGTAGTATACTTATAGTTGTAGTATATTTCATATACTCTTTGCAATTTTGCAACTGTGCAGATTTTGCAAAATTGAAAAATTTTTGAAACCCCCTCCGTCCTCCGCCAATTTTGCAAAATCTGAATACACAAAGAGTATATAAAATACATTACAACTTTCATATAAACTATTTTTGCATATGCCTCGTATTTTAAGAGATACAATGCTAAAAACGAGAAAAACTAGTTTTTCTTTTTCGAAGTGTGGTTTCACCCCCTCAGACACTGGAATTCCGCACGGACAAAAAACAATTTCGCATTACGGATGAACTACTTTACTTCCACACACAGTTTCATAATTTTCTTGAATTCCCGGGTTCCCTATCTTTCCTTGTCAGTCGGAGACGACAGAGTGATTCCGAATCGCGATGAGCAGGCAGCCGCGATCAAGTATGAATTTTGCGTTTTCCCTTGACAATAAGATAAGACTATTGATAACGGGATAAGTGTGAGGCAGAGAAATTATTCACCTACATGTCGAGTGTAACATCGAGTTTCAGGCCTGCTGAAAACACGGCTGAAATATCAGTAGTATCTAATCTAATTATTTTCGAGATTGATAGCGTCGTGGAATGTCTGGCGATAAGCGACACGTTGCCGAAGAATCGCCGACACGATTGTCGATACGAAGCGCGCGATGCGTAAAATTTTCGCAGCGGATGCTCGACAGGATTTATAACCGCTCACTCGTAAATACCGTATCTCCCTGGTTCTTCTTCCGACTCGGGATCTTCTCTCGTTTCATCTCCCCTCGGCCCCCTCCCCCCCCCGAGTCATCATCGCTCGGTAAAATAGACTCGAAATTTTTCCCAGGACAGGACGGTCTTTCACCGCCAGCGACATTGTCGTTTCTGCCGGTGAAGTGCCTCGCGATTCCCGCAAAATTATTATTTCTGCGCAACGTCTCGCGAGTTCGGTTCATTGTCAGTTGGTCGCGGGGGGGGGGGGTGAGGGGGAGACCGCGAGGGAGCGACGTCCTGCGCAAATGGCATTTCTTGCTGGTGCCCCGCGCGCTGGCGCGCGTTTCTCAATCCTCCGTCACGGCTGCGGAGCGCGATGGACGGCAATTACCGTACGTACGCTATCGCCAGCTGGCTCTTACATCGCGTGCCTTCGACTCGCTCTTATCTCTTCCGACTGCCGATCCATTTGCTCGCTCGCTCGCTCGCTCGCTCGTGCGAAAAACGCGCAAGAAGCCGCGGGGGAAGGACGATCCTCGCACGGTCGCGCGCAGGTCCTCAGACGACGACTTCCTCTGGACGAACGTAACGCACGTCGTGCCGGCAAGTTACGTGAGAAACGATCGAATTACGCCACGACCTATTACGTTTCCTCCATTATCATTCCGATTTATCGACGATGTCATCAGGGCCAATAACGACCTCTGCGGAGTAAAGTTATATTACGCACCTTCCGGCGAGGTGTCCAAACAAACAAACAGTCACGCAACTTCGCTCGCTACGTGCGTCCTTTGAGGAACAAAAGCGAATATTACGGCCACCTTCGTTGAGCAATCGACTTCCCGGTGACGCAACGGCCTCTCTCCCTCCCACCCTTTCTCTCTCTCCCTCTCTCTCTCTCTCTCTCTCTCTCTCTCTCTCTCTCTCTCTCTCTCTCTCTCTCTCTCTCTCGCTCTCTCCCTGTCTCGCAGAATTTTTGGAGCGGTATCCCCGACGACGGTTCTGATCACAGACTTTTGTATTATACACTAGACCGATATAACTGGTCTCTTTAACACGTCCTCTAAACGCTGCAAATGCTTAAGATCGCTTATGGAGATAATTGGTTATCACAAACACGAGTTTTTGAGTGACATCGACGATTCAGAGAAGGCAGCGCAACAGTTGGCGATTGTCGCACGATAATACACCTTCTGATCGCTCGTCAATTGCCACCGATTTTTTGACCAAAAATCAAATTTTATTGCTTCAATATCCCCCGAATTTACCCTGCGACTATTTTCTATCCCTTAAGCTGCATTCGGCGATGAGAGGAGACCGTTTTGCATCAGTCGAAGACATTCAACGGTCGAGGACGAGCAATCTCAACGCCATTCCAATCAGCGACATAAAAAAGTAATTTGATGAACGTGCGCGAATCGTTTGATTTTTCTGCCGAGGGAGAATATTTCGAGTAAATAAAATGATTCCTTAACTATTCTTGTGTTTTCTAAAGCCATCCCGGGGCCGGTTAAGAGGGTGTACACAGAAGTCTGTAGTTCTGATAAGGCAGCTCCGTGCGCCGCGTCGCACTTTCGCAATCGCGCCTCGTCAAGCGGATCGTGAGAATCCACCGATAAGCCACCTACCGAGCGCCGCGGAATACGCGCGTGACTCGAATGCGGCCGCGATTTTGCATATTTATCGAGCGGCCGCGGATTACGGCGGCCGGCAACAACGGGGGTCCGGCAGCGAAAGATTGCGCTCGTTTTCTGACTTAACACACACACGGCAGGCCGCGCCGCCACGAAACGAGCTAGCTGGCTGGCTGGCTGGCTCGCTCGCTCGCTCGCTCGCTCATTCATGGCAGCTCTCTCATTGGCAACAACCTGTTGCCGCAGTGGTGTAACCGGCACTTCCTATCGCAGGTGCCGCATCGAACGCTGACGAGCAGGACGAATGATCGCGCCCGTGCTTGTTCGCGTGGATTATGCGCGGCTGTCGGGACCTGCCGGTAGACGCCAGGACGCGCGGCAGGAGCGCTTCGTGCTCTTCGCCGCGCGGAGTCTTCCATTCGGGTTTTAGCCAAGCGGAGTGTCGAAACACACACGACAGCGCCACTCGGTCGAACTGTGTGAGCCGTTGAGGGCGCAAGAGAGACAGAGAGCTCTCGAGAGGAAGAGAGCGATGGAGCACCCTCTCTTTCTCTCTCTCTCTCTCTCTCTCTCGCTCGGCTCAAGCGGATCTCTGCGCTTCAGCAGGAAGCGAGATCTCGAACTCTGGCCGAACATTCGCAATTTCGCCCATTGTGGCAAAGGACGTTCGGTCGTTACGGGAGGTAGCGCCACGCTCCCTTCGCTCTCCGTCGCACCCGCGGCCCCGCGAGGGCTGAATACACCACCACCACCACGTTCCTCATTTCCGCGTTGCCGAGAGATATCGCCCGCGAGATACCGCGCCGTGCGCAGTGTCGGCGACAATGTCGGCGGAACATTCTTCCGCCTGGCAGGTTCATCACGCTCATCACGCGACTCCGTACCGGCCCACGTAAGCGCCACGACTGCCGAAATATCGCTCGTTTCGCTCGTTTCGCGAAACAGGAGGAAAGAAGAACAGCCGAGTGGTCGTTAGTACCCCCCCCCCGCCGCCCCCTCCTCCGGCTGTTTCCTCGCTTCATTTTCGTCGTCCGCCACGACGAGGTACTAACGGAGGGCCCCCGCGGGCCCGTTAATTACGCCACTGCTCGGATGCTGGATGCTGCGTCAGGAGCAATGGCGGCTTACCTGGCTTACCTGGCTGGCCATTCGCCTGCCCCTCCGCTGCCCCCCTCCCAGCCGCCCGCCGCCGCTCCTCTCCCGCTCTCCCCCTGCCGTCGCCGCGTTCCTCAGGGGCAAGCCGACGAACCTGTTGCCCGTTCTCATCCAGTGTCGTGTCGCTTTCGTCCTTACGCGGTACGTGTCCGCGCGCGCGCGCGCGTGCCCGTTCCGTGCCGCAGGTGTGCCGCGTTTCGTCCTGTGCGCGTTGTCGCGTCGCGTCAGCCCGCGGAAAAGCCGCTGGAGAACGTGCTCTCGCTCGCTTCGTGCTCCGCTCCGTCGTGGAAAGCAGCGGGTCGATGGCGGCGGCCGTTGCCGTCGCTCTTGCACGTCCGCTCGCCAGGTGCGATCGGCGGCAGTCGCGACGGCGACGTATGCGCGCCGATCGGTGAGAGTTTCCTCCTCGGCTGCTCTCCGAGTCGCGTCATCGCGGAGACTTCATCCTACGACCGAGAGAGAGAGAGAGAGAGAGAGAGAGGAGCTCCTGACCGATCGCGCTGCTAACCGGCCGCTCGTGTGCTCGCGGAAACCGACCGAATCCTGCTCTCTCGCGAGTCGACCTCGGAGGTGCGAACTCTGCCGGGTGTTCGGCTTCTGCTCGCGCGGGGAAGCCGAGTACACCGAGTGCGCGAGGCGTCTCGCGTCCTCAAGTTCGCGCGCGACGCGCCTCGGCGACAAAGGAGGAGGAGACGGAAGGAACAGCCGGTGGAGTCGGAAATATACAAGTGCGAGCGCGGGGTGCCGTCGGTGCGGAGCAGCGACGCGGCTTCTCGTCGACGACGAGAAACGAGCGGCGCTCGGCGAGCGGAGCTCGCGACGCCGCTGTTGTCGGCCGCGAGAGGAGCCCGCGCCCGCTGTAGCTCCGGGCGTTTAGGTGCGTTCGCGCGACGCGAGAGATCGCAGAGGCGGCTCGCCGGAGCCGAGTGCGTTGGCCGAAAAAGGATAAGTCACGTCGGGTGTGCGTAAATGAAGTAAGTGCAGTGACACGCAAGGTAGGATAGCGCCGATCTCGCTGGGAACGCCGTCGCTCGTCGTCGCTTCGGATCGAGGACGGTGGGTTTCGCAATCTCTCTATCTCTC